ACGCGAAGGTGCTCAAGCCGTTTCTCGTGGAGCGTGCCGTCGAGGCCATGCCCGGGAGCAGCACCATGGTGTTCGTGAACGAGGACCTGCTTGCACGCTCTGTGCAGTTGCGCCTGACAATGGAGGACCCGAAGGAGGACCCGAAGGATGGGAAGAAGAACGACAACAAGAGGGAGGGCAACAAGGAGGACAAGAAGAAGGACAATAATGATACTAAGAAGAAGGACAACAATGATGAAAATAAGAAAGATAAGAAGGGTAAGAAGCGCGACGCCGACGCGTCCTCGACCTCAGACTCCTCGTCCCCAGACGACTCCTCGGCCTCGAAGAGGGAGAAGCCGAAGACAGGCTGAAGCAGAGCACAGGCTTGAGCACAGGCTGCAACCGAATTCGACAGCTCCGACGCAGGAGCCAGCCCGCGCGCTCCTGTTCCCGTGGAGCTGCCACTTGTTTGATTTTGGACTGTAACAGTCGCGCGCTGGCGGCGTCGCCTCCGTTCTCGTAATGGGACGCGCGCCACGTTCTGGCCTGTGCAGTACACGGCACATTGCGTAAAGATAGGAACATAGTCCTCCGTCATCCCTTCGTCGCCATGCGTCGCACTTGGCCCACGGCGCAGGCAAGGCGCAGAGTCAGGATGCTTACCTTTCCAAAGGGTACCCTTGCATCCCGCGCTTTCCGTTCCGAAGCTGGGGAGCTGGATAAACAATAGATACCATGCCGCCAAGGCCCTTGCATCCTCACGGCGCTCTGTAGGGGCGGGCCAGGATGGGGATGCATCAGGGCATGGGAGACACGGGAAGCAACGCTCCGAGGAGCGGCCGCAGGGGGAGGAGGAGGACAGAGGAGAGGCCCGCAGGCGTCTCGGTTCACTGAAACTTAGCGGGCCCGCAGGGACGACACTGTCGTCAGCGGGCCTCCGCGGCGATGGCTGCCTCGGGCGGCAGCGGTCGCGACAGGAACAAGGTTCTCTTCTATAAGTGGGGCTGTTACCTGCAGGGCGACGGGTCGAACAACGACAAGATCAACAAGAAGCTGAGGGAGACCTGCAGCACTAGCATGGCCAGGGTGGCAAAAGGGGCCCCGACCGCAAAAGTGACGCTGGAGAAGGTAACGAAGAACAAATGTGTGTTGACGTGGCCAAAGCCAGTTTCGCATGACACCTGCACGCGGCCCCTCAAGATTGCGCTGGGCGCCAACTGGACAGACTATGTGAGCAAGCCTGCGGGGGTGCCAGGGCGCGCGAAATGGGCTGGAGCAGCTAATGCTGCAGAAGATGAGCCAGCTGTCGCCGAGGGCCACGGTGTCGCAGGAGAAACCCCAGAGGACGCGCTGGGGAAGGTGCTCGTTCCCGCCGCGGACGGGGTATCGGAGCCTACGCCACCGGCAGCTGCTCGTTGCGGGTCTGCTGGTCCGAGAGCGGTGTCCCACGACGAGGGTCGTGTGAATCTACTTGCACTGAAGCTCGACGCGGTCGGGCACGCGTACCAAAACAAACAGAAGGGCAAGTGCGAGGACCTGCCGCTCGAGTACGACGTGCAGCGGGAAGGAGGGGAGCCCGGTCAGGGCTCTTTCGGCAAGGTCTACTTGGGCACGCGACGGGGCGACAAGACTGGCCTTGCGATCAAGATGCTGCGGGGCGACCCCAGCGATGCGCAGAAGGGGTTCAATGCGGATGCCGTCGGAGGGGCTCTGGATGAGGTCATGCGCCACGGTGCTGTGGGCACGCACCCGCGTCTCGTTCGCTTACTCGACGCGGGCCTTTTCAGGAGGTTGTGCCCAGGAACTGCAACAGCCCCGAAGAAAGCGCGCCGAGAACTGCAACAGTCAGTACCAAGGATGGATTGGACGTGGACGGAGCACATCGGCCTCGTGCACGAGTTGTTCGAGATCGATGTCCGCCAATTCCTCGTGAAGTCCTCCTTCGCGCAGACAGGGATGCGCCGCGTCCTGAACAGCGTTCTCGAAGGGCTCCAGTACATGCACGACAGGGGCCTCATTCACTGCGACATCGAGCCCGCGAACATCCTGATGCGAGGATCGCCGCAGACGCGCGGCTGCTTCGAGAAGCAGGCGCTTGTATCACGTGAGCTTGGCGAATGGGATCCCGTCGCGCCGTGCCCAAAGAGCAAGCTGCAGTTCGACTGGCAGACCCCGAGTTCCTTCGAGGCGCTCGTCGTCGACGTCGTCGTCGCCGTCGTCGTCGCCGTCGTCGTCGTCCTCCTCCTCCTCGTCCTCCTCGTCCTCGTCGTCCTCGTCGTCCTCGCCGTCCTCGTCGTCCTCGTCGTCCTCGTCGTCGTCCTCCTCGTCCTCGTCGTCGTCGTCCTCGTCGTCCTCGTCATCCCCGTCATCCTCGTCGTCCTCGTCGTCGTCCTCCTCGTCCTCGTCGTCGTCGTCCTCGTCGTCCACGTCATCATCGTCATCCTCGTCATCATCGTCGTCGTCGTCATCCTCGTCATCGTCGTCGTTGCTTCGACTCAGATCCCGAGTTGTCAGGGCTCACATGGAGCTCTAACATAGTATGTTAGAGCTCCAAGGAGCTCCCTGGGAGCTCTAACATGGTATCACGTGCCATGTTAGAGCCCCCTGGGAGCTAACGTGGTATCACGTGCCATGTTAGAGCTCCCTGGGAGCTCTAACATACTATGTTAGAGCTCCCCTCTCCTCCATCCGCCCCTGTCCGCAGGTGGTGCTCGCCGACCTCGGCTGCGTGGAGATGGCGGATCCCCGCGGCAGGTTGAAGAAGAAACTGCGCTACAGCCCGACCTGCGATGACCTCGGAGCATGCGCGCCCGCTTACAGAGCGGTAGACGTTTTCTTGGGGCACCAGCGCTATTCAGAGGACCTGGACATGTGGTCAATCGGGTGCCTGATCGCGGAGTTGTACACGCGCAGTGTGTTGTTCCAACCACCAGAGCCTTGCGGCGCGCTCGGGCATCCTCCAGGGGGGCACCCGAAAGACTTCGTGGTTTTCTGCAGGGAGGTCTTGGGGATCCCAGGCAAGGAGCCAGGGTCGGGAGACTTCTACAATTACGAGGACCAGGAACCCGCCCCGTGGCTGGACAACCTGCCTTTCTTTGAGAAGTGGTTCGGGCGAGGATTGGCTAAAGGCTGAAACAGCGAAGGCACTCGACGGCCGAGGACGCTGGCCCGTTGACGAACTTGCAGGCTGCCCCCCAGACGTGTTGAAGGCCGCCGAGAGCTGCCTGCTCTGGCACCCTGGCGCCAGAGCGACAATCAGTCGTCTAAGGGCTCGTCGCTTCCTGCAGCCGGCCGGCGCCCAGCTCGACGTGCGCATCTCCATGGCGCAGGGAAAAAAACGGCACGGGCACGATGGCGGAGGCGGAGCTGGACCCAGGCTTGCTCCGCTTCTTGCAGAGAGACCCGCGCTGGCAGAACTTGGCCGAGGAGCGCCTGGACACGGGGGCAACCGTCTCCAAATGCGTCCGAGGCGACGAGGCGGCAAAGGGCTTGAAAACAGAGGTCGCAGGCATCGTGGACGACGAAAGCCCCCCGAAGTGCCGCAGCCTCAACAATGACGGGAATTCGCAGATCACCCCCTCACCCCACATGGCCGCCTTCGTGCGAACGCTGCGGAAGAAGATGCGCCCGTGGCTGCAACAGCTGGGAGACAAAATGCGCGAGGCTGTCAAAGCCGATGGCATGCCACCTGCCATCGTCGAGCAGAACGGAAAGCCCATCATGACAGAGCACTTCGCCGACAACGCGTTCGCGTACGCATCGATCCAGCTCATGCAACCAGGCGCACGGGACGATGGTTGGCACACAGATGGCGGGTGCTCCCTGTTGCGCGCGGCCGTGATGATTTTCGGGACGCGCTCCGTGCAAGTGAGGAAGGATCCCAGGGGTCCTGGGAGCACATGATGGGGCGTCACCCTCGAGCACAGCCTCCTGCGGAAGGGGGCTGTTTCGCGACCCGCCACGAGCTGCAACAGCGCGTAGACGAATGCAGGCTTTAGATCGCCGTCGTGATCCGCTCCGACGTCTTTCGGGAGTTCAGGGCGCGCAGGATCGACGCCACGCCTGGCCCGAAGGAGTTCTTCAACGTCGTGAACCACGTCGTGGCCGATCACCTGGCGCGGGTCCCCGTGGCGCTGCCCGACCTCACGGAGGTGCTTGACGAAATGCGGTGGCCCGCTTCCACGGAGGCTGTGGGGCTTTCCAATTAGTACTCAGCACGGCCCGCGCAGTCCGAATGAAGGTTATCGTCATCCTCAACATCATCAGCATCATCATCTTCATCGCCATCATCATCGCAACCATCGACTTCATCATCATCATCGTCATCATCAGCAGCATCATCGTCATGCGGGTCTTGATTTAATCATCATCATCACTACATGATGATGACGATGACGAGGAGATGATGATGGATATTATTATGATGATGACGATGATGAGGAAATGGTGATGATGATGGCGATGACGCGGACGATGATGAATATCATGACGACGATGATGACGACGATGATGACAATGATGCAAAAACAGGTTGAGTCGGTTGAGTCCGAGAACCCCGCCCTAAAGCTAGCCAGGACAGGTGCCCTTTTTGTGCCCTGCAGGGGCCTCCTGGGGCCCCAAGGGGGTGCACAAGGTGCACGGTTCTCCCCCCCTTCTTCGGGGGTGGACAGACCTCCTACCCTGACACGTCGATTAGTGAATTGTCCGTTTGCGGTCCTCGAGAGGGCGCCGCGGCCGTCATCTTCCACGCTTGCGCCCGCCAGGTTCGGGCCCGAGGTCGTTTTCACCAAACCACGTTTTGCTAAAGGGGGGTCTGTCCATCCCCGACCTTCCTCCCCCCCCCTCCTCCTTGCCTCGTCCCCCATCGGTTGGCCCCCGAGGGGGGCGGCCTCTGGTGTCGGGGCACCCGTGCAGCTTGCAGGCAGGCCGAACGCTGGCCCGCGGAGGGGTGCGGGGCGGCGCCCCCGGGCTCTGCCTGCTCGCCCGGGGAGGCGCCCGGGCAGAAAGCGCGCCCCCAGGAGCAGCCGGCCCCGTCGCGGCTGCGCCAGCAGCTGGAGGACTCCAAGGCCAAGTGCCTGAGGCGCCCCATCGTCCTTCTCCTCCTCCTGCCCCGCCTCTTTTCTCTTCCTCCTCCTCCTCCTCCTCCTCCTCCTCCTCCTCCTCCTCCTCCTCCTCCTCCTCCTCCTCCTCCTCCCCCTCCCTTTCCTCCTCTCCCTCGTCGTCGTCCTCCGCCTCCCCCTCGGCGTCCTGCGGACCGCCGCCGGACTCCACCTCCAATGGGATTGCGCTCAGAGGAGGAAGACATGCAGAGGACTGCCCATACCCCTGGCATGCAACCTCTTTGGGGTTAAATTCTTGACGCTCCGCGGTTCCCCACCAACCCATCCAGCCACGATGCCCAGGCGAGTTTGATTATTGAGCAGGGAAGTGTGCGAGCACCCGATGGAACAAAGAGGGCGGCAGCCGTCGAACCGAAGATAGGGGTCCGCTTGAGCAGACCCGGAAGCCAACAATCATGCCACTGCGTGTCTGCCGATGTGGGAGGCCCCTGGCAGCTCCCCTTGTGCCATCCTTGGACCCTGTCGGGGCCCATTTGGGGGCGTGCCCAAGGTTGAGTCGGGCCTGTCCCCCTACAGGGGATTTTCGATGAAAATTACAAATAACCCAACAATAATCAACAAATAGTCCAAAAATAGTCAGGGGACTATTTTTTGAATATTTTGTTGACCTTTTTGGGCATTGTTGGGTGTACTTTTAATTTGTCGTCGAACATCCCCCTGTAGGGGGACACGCCTGACATAAGCCCAGGCCCTTGCTCCAGGATCTCCTCGGCCCCGGGGGGCCGCTTCTCGAGGCCGCCTGCTTGGGCTGCGGCCCCTTCACTTAAGTCGGGCGTGTCCCCCTACAGGGGGATTTTCGACGAAAAATAAGAAATACCCCAAACATAGTAAAGAAATAGCCCAAACATAGTCAGGGGACTTTTTTTTTTTTTTGTTTTTTGATATTTTGGTGGGGGTATTTATAATATTTCATCGAAAATCTCCCTGTGGGGGGACACGCCCGACATAACCCTTCGGCCGCCTCGCGTCTCGAACTGCACGCGCCTCCGCAATCCCGGCGGCCCGCCCGGATTTCTGCCTGATTTGAGCGGCCGAGACTATGGCGCATCTTGTGTGTGTATGTGGAGGCCCTTTCGGTTGCCCCGAATAGCCACGCGCTGGAGCGGAGCGAGGTGCTCGAGGGCTCGGAGAACCTCTGCAGAAGGCCCTGCGAGGAGCGCGTCATCGGCGAAGCCGGGGGCCATGCCGAGGGCGACTGAGGGGCTCAGGACAGGTAGCTGCACTGCCGTGCCGATAGGCACGGGCACCAACCCGAGCGACTCGTTCAGCATCCTCTGGACCAGTGCGTGGCATGCCCCGATGAACGGGCAGCCTTGCTGCCCCCCCCGACGCGCTGTCAATGGTCCCCCCTGCGGAACACCAGCCGCAGGGCCACTTCCAGCATGCTGGTCAGAGAGGTGTGTCTGTCTGTCTCGCTGTGGGCGTTGGCCTGGCCACTGTTCAGCACCCTCCTGCTCTCCTTCATGGAGGAGCTCGGGCGCGTCGGGTCGTTCAGCTCCTTCATCGAGGCGAGCCTAGTGGTCGAACGCGCCCCAGAGGGCGTGGGCGCAGCTCGGCGCCACCAAACGCCGTCGGGCCGGCTCTCGGCATCCGGCTCTGCAGAAGCGTGGGACCCCCTTCTGGGGAGGGGGCCGACGAAGAAGCCAGAAGAGTGCCGCTTCGGGGCCCAGGGAGAAGCAGGTCCAGGAGGCGCTCCAGCGTGATCCCAACGAGTACTACGAGGAGCGCTGCGAATTTGACTCCCTGGTTGAGGAACCAGGTTGTGATGAGGACTGGCGAAGCCGTTTGTCCCTCCCCAAGATTCTCAAGCTGATGGTGGGCGATCCGGACACCTTCTTCTAAAATCGAGGCCGAGGCCTTACTCAACGCGAGGGCTCTTCTCGGGCTTGACGCCGACGACTCCGCCAGCGAGGCCGAGGAGCAGGACTTAGAGGAGCAGTCCGACTACGCCGACGCCGACAAGGCTGACGAGGCCGCGCTGACCGAAGCGGGGGCACTTCTTGGTATTGACGCACGCTGACGACGCCGCCAGCGAGACTGATGAGCTGGACCCGGAGGAGCAGGACGACGTCGCGGCCGCGCTGGCCGAAGCGAGTCCTTTTCGAGCTCGACGGCGACGCCTTCGCAACCAAGCAGGCTGACGACTCCGATGCCGAGGCCGAGGAGTCCCACGAGGTCGTTGTCGAGGACGGCGACGCCGGCCGGAGGGTACCCTTGAGAGTGGCGTGGGCCGATCTCGAGGATTCCCCGAGCGAGTATGACGACGAGTGGGAGCAGATGCGCGTGCGCGACTGGGCGAAGGTGGCCACCGCGAGCCACATCCCAGCGGCAGGGGCAGCCGACCGACCGGACAGAAGCAGGTGCGACGCCACGCCGCGTGCACTGCGGTTGCGGCGCCGGCGCCGGCGCCGAGCTGGCGCCCACTTCGCATCGTGACGGTGTCGCCGGGAGAGTTTGACGCCCGCGCTGCCAGCTCTCCTGAGGCGTATCAAACGATTGCCCCCTGAGCGGGGCGCCTGGCCCCCGGTTCTCTGGCGGATCAAGGGCTTGGGCTGCATCAAACGACGTCGCTCTTTCAACGCCGCCCCGGGCGGGGCTACGATCGCAGGAGATGGACGCCTCGCATCGGCTTTTCGTTCGACGAGCGGGTGGATTTCCTCTTACGTTTCACATCGGGTCAGACATTCTGTCGAGTGCCAACCTACGCCTGGAGAGCGGGGCAGCCCCCTGGTAGCTCCAGTTTCAATCAAGGCCATCGAGGTGGGCTTCGGTATGGACCGTTCTCTAGCACCACTCCAGAGTTAGGGTGGTTTGCTCTCACTGGGTGTGCGTCACTGGCTAGCACGATTCTGTCTGCGTCCCCATCGAAGTCGTCCCGCCACTGCCGCGCCATGTGCCGCATCGCCTGCACTTCGGCACGGACACCCGCGTCCACCGGGGTGCTGCAGATGGGCTCGGATACGGGAACAAAAAGTGGCATAAACATTACAACTCGGAGGTCCCCGAGGTGCGGCCGCAGCTGTTTTCGGGTTTTCGGGGCCCGCCCGTCTGCAAGGAAGTTGCAGATGCCGTCAGGGTGGAGCAGCGCGGTTTGTCGCCCGTCTCGCACCGAGCGCGCTCCACTCCTCGCAAAGTGCTTACAGTGGGGGCGTGTGCCAAGAAACCAGTTGGATTTTGCCAGGGTGCCCTGGGTTTCTTGGACTTTGATGGGCTCCCAATCAGATCTTGACGATTTTCGATTGACAAATGCGGATTTTCACTGAACAAATCGCGTGTTTCAGGGATGGGTTTCTTGCGGAGGTTTCTTGTGGCCGAGCCCCCACTGTGAGCTGCAAGTGCCCGTCAGGGTGGAGCAGACCGGTTTGTCGCCCTTCTCTCACCGAGCGCGTTCCACTTCTCGCAAAGTGCCTACTCGCAAACGTCAGAAAAAAAAACAAACATGCCTGCGTTGATTTAATGTATCGTAGATCCTCCGCGGGGGATCCAGGCCATTCGCGAGAACCCACTTTGGGAGTAGTGGAATGCGCTCGCCTATTGATGCAGAAGTCGGGTCTGTGGCCGGATGGCCCTGGCGCAGTCGAGGAGGTGGAGGAGGAGGAGGAGGAGGAGGAGGAGGAGGAGGAGGATGAAGAGGAGGGCTGCGAATCTATGAGTTCGAGCGGGAATTTTCAGTCTCTGGCACTTTCCCTGCCTGGCGCGTGCGGCGGCCGTGGCGGTCGCGGCGGCGGTTTGGCGACGGCCTCGTCAAGGCTCGGAGGAGGAGGAGGGATATCAGGAGGGAAAGAAACACACAGACACAATGAATCGTCCACTCCCAGGAAGATATAGGAAAATAGGGGAGTTGGGGGGGGGACAAAAACCCAGAAAATATGTGAAAGTATAGGGAATCCTTTTATTTGTGTGCATTTATTTGTGTGTCCCAGGGCCCATTCAAGATACCAATGCCCGGCCCCCCTGAAATCCGCATAGGGCCCCTGGACCATCACAGCTCGATGCGCCTCGAGACATGCGGCAGACACCTTTCCTCAGGGGCTGCGGTCGTGATTTGTTGTTCGCGATGTGGCCAGGGTGCAGCTTTTGTTCAGATTCCGGCAGTTGGCCCTGCGTGGAGGGGGGGGGGGCGTGTCGAGGCCCGAGAGAAAATGTGGGGACCCCACGCAAGTCGGGACTCGCCTGCACGCCTTTTTTGGCCCCTCGCTGTTATGAAAGGCTGTGGAGGGCGGAAGGGGGCGAAGAACCGTGCAAGTGATTTGCCAGAGGCTGAGTAAAAGCACGCTCGCGTGGTTGACGCTGCCAGGCATTCGTCGCCGCGGCCGGACTCGCCTGGAGTCCTTGGTAGGGGCACCCACGCCCCGGGAGATGGGTGGGGAGTGGTTGCACCGGTACCTTTGTGATCCCCCCACGGGGCGGTCTTCGGACCTCCTGGAAGTCCGTGGAGGCTTAAAATCCAGTGGGGAAAAACGCCCGGACCAGATAATCGGCGTTTACGAGACAGCCCTGGTCATTTACTAAAAAGCCCTGCCCTGTTCGATTCCGTGCGCGGGTGCGTTTACTAAACGGCTCTGCGTGTCGGGGTGATTATTTTTGGGGTGGATTTTCTGCTCTCACTACCAGAAGGTGTCTGTGATCTCGAGGTGCCCTCAGGGCTCGAGGAGTGGTGGATGTGGATATCTGTCCGCCCTGGAGGGCGAGAACGTTCCCATGATCAAGCAGTGGCGAAGCGTCCCGGCTCGCCTATAGCCCCACCAAGCAATGTTCTAAGAACCTTTTGTGGTTCCCACGAAATGTTTTGTATAACATTTCTGGTTGGGACTGTCTTGTTTTAACACATCGGGCTCATGTTCAAAGAAAGTTGTTTTTGTTCTTAGAAGGTTCTAATAACATTTCGTGGTAGGACTATAGGAATGCCGGGACGGTCGGTCCCTGCTCAACATGACATCCGCCTTCCACGAGGGGCCGGGGCGGCTCCAGCAGCTGTGGACATGTGGGTGCTTCCATGCGGTACGCAAGGGTGGGCGAACGGTCCAACGGCTTCGGTCCTGGATCCTCGGCCCGTGGGGCGGGGCGGCGGTGGCGACGGCGAGGACGGCGACACCCACCGACGGCGACGCTGACCCCTGACATCCGTCGATGTGACTTGTTCCCTCCGCGGGTCCAGAGGTCGAGGGCGGCAAAGAGTGGGGTGATGACTAGGGGGGGTGGATATCATGGCGGGGGCCATGATATTTCCACAGATATCGTGGCGCCTCTTCTCATTTCATTACGTCCATGGCCCCCCCTTGGGCCGCGCACGTGCCGCCGGCCATGATCTGCACCCTCCCTCTTTGACGCCCCCCTCTTGGCCGCCCCCGAAAAGGTCGCGACCGCTTCCTCCGCGGTCGTTTTCCGTCTCCCATCCACTCAGGATGGTTCCGAGTCCCGAGAACGGCCTCCGAGAGCCGAAAGCGAAGAAACAATATCGGTTGAAAAGATTGCCAACCACTAGTGGGAAATCCATTGTCGATACCTGGCAGCCCATCCCGCCCAAGAACGTGGAGATTTGCTATGATGGGCTATTGCCAATCTATCGGCGATGCATCGCCGATTCCAGGTCCATGCCTCCCGCCCCGAGCTGGTCTCCACCCGACGTTGCCCCCCACCAGGGGCCCAGATGCGCCCTGCACTCCAACGGGGTCAGCCTAAACTGCTCTCCGCCTTTCCCTCGCCTAGTCTGATGGGCGTGTTTTCCACCACCACCGCCACCATAAGTTGGAGGGGGGGTCCTCCCCTCCTCCTCCTCCTCCTCCTCCTCCTCCTCCTCCTCCTCCTCCTCCTCCTCATCCTCATCCTCATCCTCCCCCTCCTCCACTTCGTCCTCCTCCTCGCCCCCCTCCTCCTTCCCCCCTCCAACTTATGGTGGTGGTGGTGGAAAACAGGCTCATCATATACGTAAGCAAGCTTCGCGGGCAACTCAAACACAGGCTCTACTGAACATCAGTTCCTCTATGGTCGCCCTCCTGAGCAGGTTTCCCCCTGCGTGGATCAGCGCGGGGGTTGCTCAGCGGATAGGGGGTTCACATATCGGGGGTGGACAGACCTCCTACCCTGACACGTCGATTAGCGAATTGGTCGTTTTCGGTTCGCGAGAGGGCGTTGCGGCCGTCGTTTCTGCGGGTCCAGGTCCGTCGGTTTCGGTCCCAGGCCGTTTTCACTGAGGGCAGGTGTTTTAAGGGGAGGTTTGTCCACCGCCGAGATAAAGGGGGTTCACAGAGGATGGCAAAGTCAGTTATCTATGGCCTAACCTGTCTTATTGGTGGGTTCAAGGTGCCCTAGGTGGCGTGGGTGGGTTTGGTAACTTCGTCAAGTGGGCGGGCCCGGATCTGCAATCCCTTCCCCCACGCCATTTCGCGTGCTCATTACCGAGTGATGAGCAGGTCAGGCCAGATGTCCCAGCTGGGCATTCATTGATAATTCCCCTAATCCCCTATCCACTTCGCGCCCCACCCTCGCCTCCCTGAGCTGATCCCTGCAACACAGAACTCGCACTACGTTTTCGGATTTTCTCACGACGGGGCCCCTGGAAGTCTCGACCCCTTCCAGGGAACAGCTCTTCACACCAGGTTGTGTTTTGACCATCCCGGATCCTAGCGGGGGCATCCAGAGGCAAAGACCTAAGATGTTTCCGTCCCCTGAGATCCGACGTCACGAGCAAAATGGGCACATCGTAAAATGTCACAGCTGGAGCCCTATAGACCTGATTTGTTGTGCCACTTGTTTAAGCTGGATGTACAATGGGAGGGCCCCAGGGCCCGAGCCCAGGCGAAAACGCCCGGCTGAAAGCGAAAGCGACTCGGCTGCCGATGCCACTTCTGGAGCCCGGGGGCACCGCACCTCCAACGATGCGTCTAGCCAGGGGGCCTCTGCCGAGCTCGACGCGCGCTGCGCCCTTGGCCATGTGCGCAGCTCCTGCTCCTGCTCCGACTGGACGTAAGAGTGACCTTTCGCCAGCGTGACCTTTGGTGCGGGCCCACGGTGCGCGGTGCGACGGCAGCGTCCTGCGCGCTCGTTTTTGGCCCTTCCGCGGCTCCCACAAAGCCGCGCACCAAATGTCACTCTTACCCATCGGCGTCACCCCAACATCAGAGTGAGGGGGCCGAACGGTCATTCACTGTCCCTGGGTGCGTGGCTGAAGTGGAATTCCGCGGTGCGGATTCGTGTTGTTGAACATTATTTCTTCTTAAGAATAATTATTGTTGGGACCCCTGGTGCGCGCCCCCCCCGCCGCGCCTAGGCCGCAGCCACGTTTTCATCATTTTCGTGAGGAAGCCTCAGGCAAAACGATGTGATCCAGATCCGGTTGTTTTGTTGTCCCCCGCTTTCCCTTGCAAAAAATAAGGTAAAGTGGACATTTCTTGTTCTAACATAATCAAACTTCAAGAATCCCTTGCAAAAAATAAGGTAAAGTGGACATTCGCGCGCGCAAGACGAAATCCTTCCAAAACCTTAGTTTTCGTAGCGATTTTTTAATAAAAACATCAAAAAACCAATGGTTTTTCAAAAAAAAATGTCAAAATTTCATCCCGCGCGCTCTTGCGGATTCGTAGGAAACCCAACACTTTTTAAACATTTCTGTCAAACGGGCTTTTGCGAGCAACTTTTTCGAACTTCTGCAACAACGGTTGCGCACCTGCCAGGGCCATCATCCCTGTCAAATAATACCAT